CAAACGAGTGCACAAAGGTGTTTTTATTATTGTGTATTTATTGCCCATAGAAGTGGCTGCGCTGTCAGTGCGAATGAGATAAACATATGAGATAATTGTTACACCTTCTCACTCACACATAGCTAGATAAAATAGCAACTTTATTAATGTTTTGAAATTTGTTTTAAACTCGAACTTAACAGTTAAAAAACCTTAAGGTTTATGGCTAAATGTTTCTTTTAATTTTTCGCGTTCCAGGACGTATAATTACGTATATATAAGGTAATTAACGCAATCTTGTAATAGGCATTAGTACCTTGGAATTGCCTGAAGTTTGAGAGCCCGATAGGTTAACATATTGCAAAGTTAAGAAACTTTAATGTACATCTCTTTATTTTCAAACCTCGGGGTTTTTTTTTTTCAAACCAACAAATGGGGATAGAATGAGTTATGGTCGAGTGGGTGGTTGGAATGGTTGGTAAGATATTTTCTAAGTCGGTTCATAAATAAGAGTTCAGAGGCTTACAATCTTAAGAAAAAAACGATTAGAGGACCTCCCCCTCTTTTTAAATTAATTATTAATCTAATTTAAAGCGAACGAAGCCAAAAGATAATTAATACATTTGTCATCTATACTAATATTATAAAGCTGAAGAGTTTGTTTGTTTGTTTGAACGCGCTAATCTCAGGAACTACTGGTCCGATTTGAAAAATTCTTTCAGTGTTAGATAGCCCATTTATCGAGGAAGGCTATAGGCTATATATCATCACGCTAAGACCAATAGGAGCGGAGCACCAATGAAGAATGTTTCAAAAACGGAGAAAATTTATTACTATTGAGAGACGCAGACGAAGTTGTGCGGGTCAGCTAGTTAGATATAAACCTGAAGGATTTTAAGTTTTTCACGTGCTAATCTTTAAACCTGACAGTTCGATTAAAGTTAAACAGAGCTTTTGTGCATTTGATAACTCTGTTGTTGAGAAAAATTCTTAGGTTTAAAGGGGGACTTTTAAAAGGAAATAATGCATTCATTTGTCATCTAGCTTTGGAAATAACCTGAATTATAATTTATACTTCAATTTACTTCTGTACATTTTGGTTTTATTTTGTATCTTTTTTCGTATATCTCGTTCTCATTCAGGTGCACGGTTCGTTTGGTCAAAGAACACTCGCACTTTTTTGAGTTGACGGGAAGAGAAGTGTGAACATTTGATCAACAGCCTTTAACAGTCCACTGCTGGACATAAGCCTCTCCTTAGAAAGCAGATTTTGGCCTACTATACCACGATGGTCAGACGGGTTTGGTATAGGGTTTTGGGTCAAGTTTTCCTTCTCTTTGCAGTGCTGTTGTTCTGAGCAGTTTACTCATTTGGTCGGCTCTTACGACACCCACGGGATGAGTAGGGGTGGTGAAACTCCGTATTCTTAATCCGTCACCAGACGGACCACGGTGTGAACCTTTAACTGAAACTTAATACTACGTACTATTTTGTAAATATTATTAGTACTTTACAAATATAAAAAAACTTATCTCAAAACTATATTCTTCCTGTTAGCCGTGGTTTTGCTAATATATAGTTTAATTCAATTCATCAAAATTGCTTTTTCTGCTAAATAAACACACTAACATTTGCGTTATCACACACTATCATTTTGTTTAATCTTTTGCGTTTATTATTGAATTTGAATAGCAGTTTAATAGCAGTAAAGTATTAAGAAATAAAGAAAAAAAAACATTTAGGTACATTTAGTTTTTTTGAGCCAGGAACCCTTCATGGGCGTCCTCACAATACCTTACTAAACTTTCATTACAATCTGATCAATGGTTTCGAAACTATCCGGACCAACATATATACATTTATTTTTATTGGAACGAAGTTCTTCGGCGAGACGGATTTTATGAGAAAAGGCGTACGTTACGAAAAATCGTTAGTCGCTATCTCTCTATCGAAAGAAAGTAATCCGTCTACTTACATTGCTCATTTTTATTTATTATCTCGAGATCAACAATAATGAACTTAGTTTCTATCGGGTGTCCCACGGCACCTTACGGTTTTTTTTATAAAGATTACAAAGCTAGCAGTTTTAAAGGAAGCCGAAATCGTACAAAGACTGTATTATTTCCTATAATAAGGATAGGTCAATGAATAGGCCTGTTTCTCAGTTGGATGGTAAACCATCCACCAAAGGGAGACCCTTTTTAAACCATCCTTACTGTCCATCTTCAGTGGAAATGCCTAAGTCAAAAGCTCTAATTGGAAACTGTTCTTAATGTTACTTCATCATCCGTGCTTAAGAACGATTAGACAACAAATTAATATTGATAGGCTCGCCTTAATCGGGATTTATGCTCTTTAACTTTAGTAAAAGATAAGAATTGAGTCTCTTAAAAATGAATAGTGTAGAAACCTTTTAGTTTTCTTTTTAATAACTGATATAGGTATTTATTATGCGTAAGAAAATGATTGCGTGTTAGGGTTAACTCAGATTAAGCAAATATAATGTAATAAAAATAAACTATAACCCTACACAAAATTGTTTATATAATTAAATTGCCTTGTGCCAGCTACTTTTGCTGGTTATTTTTAACAAATCTAACCTTTCAATCTCACTTCGTGATTATATAATTTAATTTTAGCTGTTTTATACTTAACTAACTAGGTTTAAAAAACTCATGCACGTAAGTTAGCTTATATTAACGTTCTTGTTTTTGGTAGTTTAGGCGGTGAACCAACAAACGGGTCTTCTATTATACACCTATAGTCAGTGACTACCGTCACGTCACTGGGATAAAATTACAATCACATGTGATTAATCATATGATATTTAAATTAATTCATCAGTTGTACACATCATGTAGATGTGTCACACCTGTAAGTTATCTACAACATCACTGCGATCAATTATTTTTATTACACACGAGAAAGAACTAAATCTAAAAAAAAGGTCAATTTGATTGATTTAATTTCATTAATCTTTGTCTATGACCAAATCTAAGTAGTGTTTTATCGCAGGTGAAATCGCAGAGACAAATACCAATCATTTCATCTAATGAATATGATTTAAAATTAGCAATAATGGCCATGTTTAACCCTCACCCATGCACACCTGCTACTCAAGATATACAAGTCCGTTGCCACTTTTTGACCCTCCTTCAAAGATAGGAGGGGGGACTCGGCCTTTGCTAACCTAACTCACTCGAAGAAAATCTAAGAGAGAGTTACTTAACACTGGTTTTCTGTGATGGCGTGGTATCACTCATCACTCCTGTCGAACCGGCCCATATTTGTCGAAGCATGTCTCTCCCACGCTGATATATTTTAGGTTAATATATTACACAGCGAATAATATACTAAGCTTTATCTATTAGTGTGTTTATATGTGTGGTATATGGTGTAAACATACGGAATTGGAACAGTCGAAAGATTGACAGCAACCGGACGTCCGTGGCCGGACGTCAAGGAGTGTAGGGTGACTGTGACGGGCGCTAAATGAGAGACTGTCTCACAATTGACAAAGGGAACGTCACTATTGTGTGAACAACTCGTATTGTTCAAATGTCAATGTGAAGATTTGTAGTAGAGGGGACTAGTTAGTATGCTGTAGAAAGTAAGATAAAATGCTTCGCGATGACTTAAAGGTTTCCGTTGAATACGAATATTAATAGCAACTGCAATGGAAAATGAAAAAAAAATGGACATCTTTTATCAAAAGTTTATTGGGAAAGGGCGTGTTAGTATAAGTATAATAAATTCTATAATCTTTAAACGTGCATCCTGAATATGTTTATGTACTTTAAATGGGGATAAAATTATTGTAATCAAAATGTTTTAATAGGCCTCTATCTAGTCCTTCGGGGAAAAGACGCTGTAGAAGATGATGATGATGTATGTATGTTGTCTATATAATCCGAGACTAATACACCGTTTAACATACACTGTCCATGTGTTACAATTTACAATGTTCGTATTGGGTGTTTCTCGTAATTCAAATAAACCAACAGACATTTTTTATTAGAATGCCTAATGGCATGAATTTCATTACTATTCCATTTTAACTGTAATCCCCTTGGGTACACTCTCATTAAAATTACTAATTATATATATAGGAGTATGCTAATCGAATTCAAAAGGTAATCAAATAAATTCATTTGCTTACAGTACAAAAACCGTCCAGAACTTATTCCGTAAAACTAAATACAATGAAGAATTACTTACTAAATACAAGATAAAGGATTAAAAAAAAAACAGGATTTTACCAGAAGAATAATCAATAGGTAGATTTGAGCTACGAGTACCTTGATACTGTATTTGCCAATGTTCTGAAATTCAAACTCTTTTTATTTAATGTAAATACTGATCAGTCTATGGATGGGTGACCATTCTTAACATATTAAGACCCCTACGTGATTCGGGGAGCACGTTAAACCGTTGGTCACGGTTGCCATACGATATCTTTAGTAATCGTTACGGGTAGATCGAGCCCTAAAAAGTCCGACAACAGACTTTTTACAGAACTTCGATATTGCCTAGTACTGGGGTTGTGGAGATCTGATGGCAGTCGCTCCGCTTAAAAAATCGAAGTTCTGAAGTATCGTAGTAGAATTAATGCCGACCCCACCTTGGTTGGAAAAAGGCTCGGAAGAAGAAAAACTCTGTTTAAATTTTAGAGACCATAATACACTTGTTTGTTTTATTTTACCGCCAAAACTCTTACTGTGGGTATAATTGCAATAATAATGAAACATAACTATGAAATGTCATACTTGGAATAACTACAATAAAAAAAAATGTTTTGTAAACACTAACAGCGATATTTCACAGAGTAAGGAACCACCTGTCGGAGGAGTAAAGATCAATATTTATAAGGGATTAAAATTTGTCCCGGACCAAATCATTGTCACTGTACACTCCCCTTCAAAGCGCTCCATTATGTTCTAAATAGGTCAAATTCTATATATCTTTACATCAGCAGATGTATACGTTGTGTGTATATTGTAACTTGATAAAAAGTAAATAATTTAAGTGGCCCGGGCAAAGTAGTGCTCCCCCCGCCCTAGCCTGCATATGACAGTTGGCACGCCCAAACTGACAACAACACCTGTAACTTGGTCTAGTCCAGGACTCACCAGTCTACCGACGCACTTGCTTGTTGATATCCTCCGCAAAAGCTGCTTTCTTTCAGTGTCATTGTCACTGTCCGTGCTGTCCTCGCAATATCCAGGTTTTTTGTCATCCACTGGCGCATTCCCGCCGGCCACTGACATCACTCCACGGGCGTTCGCACACCATACACACAGCGCACATTAAACACAACTACATCATACAGGATAAACTAATAATTTACATTTTACAAACTGAATAGCTACCTCGGTGACATTTCGAGCGAACGCCATGACAATAGTGACAGTACAGCCGCCGCTGAAAACAAAACAAGCTTTAAGGGAACACAGCGACATCTGGTGAAATTTTCTTGAACTGTGTGAAAAGATATTTATGGAAACGTTTGTCAGCTAGACTATCGTAGCGTAATTCGAGCTACTTTTACGTAAACGCGCTAGATGGCGTCTAATTTACTTCGTGAAAAGGTAAACTATTTTTTTTACTTTAATTTATAGATGTACCTACTAGCGTTTCCCCGCCGCTCCGCCCTTGTGTATGTTGATTATCGTAGTGAAAAATAAGCTTACTCGCTGATAATCTAGCATCTAGAATTTTAGATTTAGGCATGAAAGCTAACAAACAAACAAACTCACTTTCACTTTTCACACAACAACTGTGGATTCGTGATTTTATTTTATTAATCTATACAAATAAATAAAATTGGAGTATGTTTGTAATATTAAAATAACCGCTTTTTACTAAATCCACATGTATGTTTACACGATACATATGCCAAAATAACATTTTTACAATTTTTGTCTGTCTGTCTGTCTATGTGTCTGTCTGTCTGTTTGTTCCGGGTAATCTCCGGAACGGCTGGACCGCTTTCGACGGGACTTTCACTGGCAGATAGCTGATGACATAAGGAGTAACTTAGGCTCCTTTTTTTAGACTAGCTTCGCCCCGCGGCGTTGCCCGCGGTTATAGTAGTATCGTAGGGTGGGAGAGAAGCAAGGATAACTGAGCAAGGATAGTTAAAACTTGGGCACCTAGGGCAGCCCATCACACTATGAATAAAACATCCATCTAAAACAACTTGATTGAAGTACCTTAAACAAAACCATGTGTTATTTTTTATTCTTATCAGAAGCCATCACCATTTTTGGTTATGTTACCCTAGACGACAACAGAAGAAAAATTTACAAGTTTTGTCGAAGTAATTTCCCCTTAGATGAGCGTCATAAGAGATTTAGTATTATCATCAAATTAAACAAAACATGTGTGTGTGTGTGTGGTGAAGGATTAAGAATATAGAGTGTCACTACCCCGTGGGTGTCGTATGAGCCGACTAAGAGAGCAAACTACGCAGGACAACAGCACTGCAAAAAGAAGGATAACTTGACACAAACCCTATACCAACCCGTCTGGCCAGCGTGGTATAGTAGGCCAAAATCTTATTTCTAAGGAGAGGCCTATGTGAATATGTCCAGCGGTGAACTATTGAAGGCTGTGATGATGTGAAACAAAACAAAAAGGTATTTCTCAAAAAAGATTTAATGACAGCACATTTTGTAGTGACACTGGCAGATTAAAATCAAACATACGTATATTTTTCTGGAAAGTTTCTAGAACATCAATTCAAAATATCTGCTTCTTGACAAATCGATTACCAACAATCATTTTACAGAAATCCGATGTACAATGCGCACTGTGTAATTTGCTACTGACTTTTTTTATTTTTACTTAGTTTTAAGCTTAATGTTAAGCTTTTCTGTGTACCGATTTGAATAAATATAAAGATAAATTGACAAGTATATTATATCCAAGCATCGATAAATTGACAAGATGAGGGAGATCATTAATCTTCAGGTTGGTTCGTGCGGGAACCAGATCGGCGGCAAGGTGAGTTCTTATTAACACCTACGAGTACCTCTTGATATTTTTGCTAGCAAGCTCTCCTAATTAGAATTTCACTCGCAAAGATAATCCTTCAAGTGGCTGTTGGCCAATCCTGTTTAGAGGGGAATGAGCTTTACCTCTGTCATGAAGGTCCCAACATTTTTTCTTTTATCACAAGTATCTTATAAAACTGGCAGAATCAACTTTCGCATGATGTCCTCTAATATTATTAGTATCTATTTGCGGTTGTGTTTATATGTATTTTGGTATATGTACGTACTTAGTGTATAGGTTCTAGTGTAAGTTTTTGTGTATTTGATATATTTTTTTAGTTTGTATATTCCAATACCAATTTCAACCCAAATGCACACTGTTTTCTTTGACAATGGTTGACTAGTAGAATGCTGTAGGTATAAATTTTGACGGTTTTTAAAGTGGCTGTTGGCCAATCCTGTTTAAAGGGGAATGAGCTTTACCTCTGTCATGAAGGTCCCCAACATTTTTTCATTTATCACAAAAGTAATGAAGTATCTTATAAAACTGGCAGAATCAACTTTCGCATGATGTCCTCTAATACTATTAGTATCTATTTGCGGTTATGTGTTTATATGTATTTTGGTATATGTACGTACTTAGTGTATAGGTTCTAGTGTAGAAGTTTTTGTGTATTCATAATTATATTTTCTCTGGCAATGGTTGACTAGTAGAGAATGGCGTAGGTATAAATTTTGACGGTTCTTTCCACTTGAATCCCCGCGTCGACCTCCAACCAGAGTGCAAGAATAAGTATTAAAATTATATTCAAATTCGACCCCCAAACATTGGAAGCACATTACATTTGAGAATCAAAATCTAGCTTTATAAACAATACGAATTAGCGACTTGTCGCTCGGAGGCAATTTCTTATAGGCAACCATATGCATAAATGAGCGGGGTCCATGGATCCCCTAGGCAGTTCACGCGGGGGTTCAAGTGGAAAGAATCGGTTCGACTGCACCCATGGCGAAGTAGTTCGTGATCAACTCGCCGCTTCCTACTGCGCAGAGGTTGTGGGTTCGATCCCCACATAGGATAACTGTCATCCATAAATTGTTAATGAGAATGTTTGTGAAGTTCCCCGTGACAGAATACATTCTAAGTGCGGGAGTTGTCTTCAAAAATAATATTAAAAAAAATTAGTCCGCCAATGCATCAAATGTGCATGTGTAAAATAAAGTATTTAATCCCAATTAGGTTAATACCCAACACTGAGCTTTGTTCAACCGACCAAGACCAACCACAAGATTAAGGCTGATCTATGTACCGCCATTTTCTTTAAATAAGAAAAATTATTAAAATTTTACTTTTGTCAACAGTTTTGGGAGGTGATATCTGATGAGCACGGCATTGACCCCAGCGGTTGCTACCACGGAGACTCGGATCTTCAATTGGAACGCATTAATGTATACTACAATGAGGCCTCAGGTGGAAAGTACGTCCCCCGTACCGTGCTGGTGGATCTGAAGCCTGCGACCATGGATGCTGTACGATCTGGACCCTTCGGATGTCTCTACCGCCCAGATAACTTTGTATATGGTCAAAACGGAGCAGCCAACAACTGGGCAAGAGGGCATTATACGGAAGGAGTAGAAATTCTAGAATCCTGCCTTGATGTAGTAAGACGAGAAGCTGAAAGCTGCGATTGTTTACAAGGCTTTCAAATCTCACACTCGCTCGGCGGTGGTACAGGCTCCGGCCTAGGAACACTGCTCGTTAATAAAATCCGTGAAGAGTACCCTGACCGAATCATCCTGACTTTCTCTGTATTCCCAAGCCCACGAGTGTCGGACTGTGTGGTAGAGCCGTACAACACCACGCTGGCAATGAATCAGCTGGTTGAGAACACGGACCACACGTTCTGTCTTGACAACGAAGCGCTGTACGATATTTGTTTCAGAACATTGAAGCTAACCACACCCACATACGGTGATTTAAATCACTTAATCTGCGCCACAATGTCGGGGATCACTACATGTTTAAGGTTTCCTGGACAGCTCAATGCCGACTTAAGGAAACTGGCTGTCAACATGGTGCCATTCCCGAGATTACACTTTTACACTCCTGGATTTGCGCCGCTCACGTCACGAGGTGCTCAACAGTACAGAGCGCTCACAGTCCCTGAATTAACATTACAAATGTTCGATGCTAAGAACATGATGGTCGCTTGTGATCCGCGACAGGGAAGGTATCTAACAGTAGCCACGATATTTAGAGGCAGAATGTCAATGAAGGAAGTAGACGAACAATTGGTAAACATTCAGAACAAGAACAGCACTTACTTTGTGGAGTGGATTCCTCACAACGTAAAGATTGCAGTGTGCGACATCCCACCACGAGGTCTGAAACTGGCGTCTACATTCATTGGTAATACCACAGCCATCCAAAGTATCTTCAAAAGGGTATCTGAACAATTTGTGGCTATGTTCGGCAAAAGAGCGTTCGTTCACTGGTATACTGGTGAAGGAATGGATGAATTAGAATTTACTGAAGCAGAGAGCAATATGAGTGACTTGGTATCTGAGTATCAGCAGTACCAAGACGCGACAGCGGACGATGAGGGAGAGTTCGATGAAGAAGCGGAATGCGAAGGAATGGAAGAGTAGCCATTAATTAGGTTTTTTGTTGTGTATGTCCTTGTGTATGTCCGATCATAACGTTGAATCAAATAAAAAGTACAACAATGATAAAAAGCATTTTAATTTTGCCCTTTACATAATTGATATTGCGGCTAGTTGTAATTTCAAAACGAGATTCCCCCCTTAATCCAGATATCCCCTATCCCCATCACTGACGCGCACTGGTAAGAGTAGGTTTTTACTTTTATTTCTACTAGAATCCCCTGTCTCAATTTCTCGGGCAACTGTACAACTGTTCCACTTAGAATCCCTTGGGATTACATAAAACTACTTACACGAAGTTCCCCAAGCCCGAATTATACCTCGTAAATCGTTTAAATCCACGTTAAAACGTCAGTTTATCAACCCTTCGGCCATATTGGGGACCAGTTTTCGAAACATCAAAACCTGGTTGACATTAAACAAAAATTAGTTTCGAAATTGGTTACCAACTTGGGTCTAATCCTCTTTCCAACTTTAAGTTGGAAACCTAGGTACCTAGGTTGGAACCTACAATCCTCGATTACATTTTCTGGTGTTTCTTATGTACAATGACGAAGTCATCTTACTATCGGTAATGTTTATTTAATCCTAAATGAATTGAATTTGAAATAAAATACTTTAACTTACCTTCCTGAAATTGTTAGTCACACAGTCCACTGAATCAAAATATCTACTATCAAAATGTCCTTAGTATCATAATGTCCACATTATCATAAAGTCCGCACTATAAAGTTCACATTCCTTTATCCACCTTAAGGCTCTTGTAATTATGGTAATGTATAATACTGGCTACTTAGAGCCTGTTCAGATGAGGCGTTTTACGTTCGCGCGTTCCCGAGATACTAGAGCTACAATATATTCCGTCCAGATGATGACGCGCGTATCCTCACTCGCGCGTAAAACGCTGGCAATGAGCGAGACTTGACTCGCGCGTTCTACGCGCCAGCTCCGCGCGAGTCGAGATACTCGGGCGCTATTACTGCGTCCAGTACTACGCGCGAATCCGTAGGGAGTGGACGTATTACAAAACGGGGTTCAACTCCACATTAACGACAATCGAGTTGGAGGTTGATATTTTTTTTACAGAATGGTTACATTATTATAAGCACACGCGTAAAAGTTTCAACATGCGGAGACGCGTAGTTTTTGAGCAAAAAAATATTGAAAATCAATTATTTCTGCAATATTTATATATTATTATTCAAGCTCAACAAGCCATGTATTATAAACCTTCAGCTGCTCGTTCTGCCTACCAACCTTCAACACAATATCATTACCAAGCAGGACTGACACAACGCGGACAGAGAGATTTTGAAGATCCTTTAACATCTCCGTTGCCTCTAGCAACTTAAAATTGAGGTTATTTCACTACGCCACAAAATACCCTCACCCAAGATACTCTCCCAACAACACCATCACCGGCATCTACACAAGATTCCCAAGAATCTGAATTGATGGAGTTATACAATAATTAATTAAGGTTAAATAACCTATAGCTTGTTAGAATGTTTTTAACGATACACAATTTTTTGTTAAATTAATTTTTTCTTACGTCAAACTTAGGTTGATATTAAAATAATAAAAAGTACAAAACCATTACAATAAAAATTATTACTTACCTTAAAGTAATCACAAGTTTTTCTTCTGCACAAACAGTATCCCGTACCACATAATTTGAGAATGGAGTTAAATCTTCTTGAATAATTTCAAGTAAGTCATCAAACGATGTTACTGACATTCGAAAGTAGTTGAAAAATTTTTTGCTGTGTTCTCTGAGCTTTGGGTATAATTTTATAAACATACTATGCGTCATCCTGTCACGTAGAATTGGATGCACGATTAATCGTCGACTTTCTCTTCGTTTACGACGTTTCCATCGACGGTATGCAAGCCACAACACAACCGCTGTCTCCGAGTCCATGTTTATAACTGAATCCCTCCCTGCGTAGCAACGCGCGTAAAACGTTTCATCTGGACGCAATATGAATTGAAACGCGCGAGTCGACTGGATCCTGCATTTCCTAATATTATTATTAATTTGTCTTTGGGTACAAAATGAATGACGCAAGGAAAATGACTTTAAAATAATGACAATAAGGGAGGAGAAACCTTGCCTCTTTTTCCAACGAATTATATACAAGAAGTTTTTCGAATATATTCAATCGATAACGATATCCTTTATTGACTAAAACAATATCTTCTTCTGAATTTGACCAACATCGCACGACCAACTCCCTTCAGGGTTTTCACAGAAGACTAAACTCGAGGGTATATTAATGATGCGAGAGTTGTCTTTAAAAAAAAATTGTTATCGACCTAACCTAACAAAAAAAAGTAATTTTTTTTTTAAGTTTTGATGTTATTTTATAGTGGATATTGTTGCAAAGTGGACTATTTGGTAAGTGGACATTTTGTTAAATGGACCATTTAGTAAATGGACATTTTGATAAATGGACGTTTTGATAAATGGACATTTTAAAGTGGTCATTTGCAGTGGACTTTATGTGACTAAAGGTTATCAGTTGGCCAGCTTGGCCCTCCTGATGGTTTGGGGGACGCGGGGCGGGGGTGCATTCAACCAATTAGCTAGTGCGTCGCTGTCCACCGGCAGTGACTGACGTGAAAGCATGGCTGTACATGTTATTTTTCATAAGACTGCTACACACGGTATTATTTTGCAACGTGGATAATCTGCCGACTCTGCGTCACAAAAAGATTTAAAAACTTGAAGTTCGGCTTACAGAGGTTCTACTGTTAAAGTTCTAATAAAGAATATTTATTATTTTACTTAATTTTTAAATTGTATCTGAATATAATTTACATGATGAAGATAAGGTGATTTTATTAAAATTATTTCACAGTATTAAATTTTACAATTAATCATAAAAACTTAAATACACTGACATTATAATACATGGAAATAAATTCGATTTTTATTACATCGTGTGTAGATTAAATCTCAAACAAATAAATCTGAAGATATCGAGTTAGTACATCGTGTCATGTATAGCCGAGCGCATCACCCGCCCCGCGTCCCGCAAACCATCAGGAGGGCCAAGCTTACGGCGGTTTAACTATAATAACTTTATTGTCAAAATACTGAGTTATGTTAAATCATGTTTTTATTTCTGTCAAACAGTAGTTCTCATTCTGATCTTCCAATGTCAACTGACGTTTTAGACTTAGACAGGACTACAATTCGAATACTTTTTATATAACTTAGGTCATGTTCACATATGGCCAGCACCATTCAGTCTAAGAAATAAAGGACTTTGAAGTTCATGAATCGCAACTTTTTTGGTGTATAATTTTGCTACAGTTGCATCAAATTTTTGGAATTTTTGTGTTTTGTTTAAATACGTATTCACCAATTTTCAAACCAATAAACATAAAAAGCTAAAATTTAAACAATACAAGAGGGTGTTGGAGGCGTCGGACAAAGCCGGAGCTTTTTATTTCTTTCAGGGTTTCTGTTTCTGTGTTTTCTATACATATAATGTTAAGTTTGGTTTGTGTACGCTTAAAAAACTCAAAAAGTTGTGCACCTATTGAGCTCAAAGGCACGATATACGACGCGCTACGAAACACCTACCGTGTTTGGAACGACAAGGTGCAACAGCGAAGCGTGCCAGAGTACATCTAGTTAATTATGAAGATTAGATATTGTAGTGCCCATTGATATTAAATATTTAAATCAATCGTCACTGAAAAAAACAGTTTTGACAGATTGGTCCTATCTTTTGGCAAAGTTCCTCCTCCGAAACAATTGACATTATCTTGACAACTGTCTGCACCGACTCAGGTCCTCATCAGATTACAATTTTAGCAGATTTCTAGACTTATCGAATGTGATATTTTAAGAGTACCTGCCTAACACACAAACTGGGCCTTAATTCTGCTATTTAATGATTTATTATACTTAATAAAAATAAATAAATAATTTCCTCAAAAAACGTAATATATTTTCAACTACCGATATTTATACCGATGCCAATGGCCACTCGATTGCATCTCAATGGCGTGTCAGTGATATGACAGTGGCTTGGCGTAAACATAAAATAGCAGAATTGAGGCCCTGCAGCATAGCAAAACTCTTTTTTCACACTTTTTTATTTAAAAATCATATTTAACAACGAGACACTACGATAAAAATGAGAAGACCCTGATGACCTTAGCGAAAGATCAATAGGGTTGTGTACTTGTGTAAGCTCTTTATTTCTTTAAAAGTGTTTCCACAATCAACCTCTTGGGATGATGTCTGAACTTCGAGTTCCGTCAAGTTACCTTCATTTTTAACCTACTTCAAAAAATTAGGAGATTCTAAATTTTTATTTTTTTGTTTTGATTGTTACTTCAAAACTTTTTTATTTGGAAGAGTATGCTTCTCGTTTTATCTCGTTTCTGTAACTAAAAAATTAAATATAATACAACCCCAAGGGGGCTAAATTAAGGTTTGAGGAATAAAATTTATTGCAATTCATGTTGATATGGGCGTGGTATGGTAAGCAAAAATCTCATTTCTAAGGAGAGGCCTATGTGTATGTGGACTATTAGAGGCTGTTGATGACGATGATGATAATGACCGAGATAAATGATGAACGAGTACCTTACAATTGCCAGACGTTTAGGTGAGGTTACAACGGCTGTAATCACAGGCTGACTGGCCTAACAGTAACTGACGTGAGGATGTTTATTACCAATTAAAAAATAAAATATATTCAATAACCCTTCACACACACTAGTACGTATGATACGCACTACGCTACATGTGTGTGTGAAGAGTATTTCAAAGAGGTTAATATGTCACAGTGTTAAAGAGAACGGTGGGTTTCTTTGTTTGCAATGTGGAGAAAAAGAATTGTATTTTATTTTTCTCAAGCCATACATTCATAAGCCTACGCTGCACCGTTTATCTACTATCATACGATTTAATCTCTTTTTAGAGCACTGATTATCAGCAGGCTGATGATAAACTGTTATTGAAC